CCAGGGACCACCAAACCCTGTAAGGATTAATGGCCCACTGAAGGGGTCTGGGGTCTTTATCCTTAGGACCCTTTTAAAGTAAATGTCACATAGTTAAGTGTACTGGATTCATTTTTAAGGGAAATGTGCATCACGTGGTACAGTGTCAAGTTTTTGATCCATCAGTGGGACAACCTATTCTTTACTGATGACCTCCTGGCCACAGAGGCAGCCGTGACTGAAAGTATTCTGCACAACCTATCACTACCAAGTGAGAGTTGGGATTGTGAATTTTTCACTTACTCATGAGAAGTTTTACCTTGTTAAAACTTGAACAGCTAGATGAAAAGAAAATTTGAATACACTCACGTTGCTTGATGAATTTTTGAATGTGTTCATCATTTCCAAAGAAATTGTAAAGAAGGAAAGTAGAGTGATGTAAATGTCTTCTGGAGATTGTACTGTTTGGAGCTAGAAAAAGCAAAATCCTACCCAATTCTTACATTCATAGGATGTGGTGAGTTTAGGAATTTATACAGGAAAAAAAAAAAAAACGTCAAGATGTTGTAGTGAAAAATACTGATGTCATATAAGAAATGTAGATAATATAGTAAGACCAATACTGCCTGTATTTACAGTGGGACCCCTCAAGAATCAGGGTATACCCTTGCCAGTATCTTCTGATCCCAAGATCAACAGAAATATAATAACTATTTAAAAGGACAAAGATGAGCTTTAGCATATCTTTTATATAGGGATGAGTTTTTTTCTTGCTACTCAGAATCAAAGTTAAATGTTTAAATGGAAATCAAGTTAATATTATTTTAAAACAGATCCCTTAAGGGAATAACAAAAAAGAAAGATCCTTAGGATGTATTAAGTCTAGAAAACATAGACAAGTCTGCTTTTACCATAGGAAATTTTCCCTGAAACTCAGTATATCGTGTTTTTGGTTCAGCACTCAATCACTAATTTGCAATGTTACCATCATTACAGAAACCATCTCATTCAATATTAGATAGTATATTATTCCCAGTTCTTATATGGAAATCTAACAGGTGATAGAATTCAATATCAAGTCCTTTAGAATTACAGAACTAGATCTCAACACCAGCCCTCACCACAGAATAATACCTGACATTTTAAGTTAATGTATAACCTTGTCGCTGAAGCCAGAGAATTTGGATAAGGAGGAACGTTCCATGGGAAGACACCAGAGTGGAGGGCAGGGGAAAAATGAGAGGGAAGTGCGAAAGAATGAAAGTGACCAAGTGTCATGCACCTGTTCCCCGGAGCTCCTGCTAAGAGGCTTTCACGGCTGCGGAGAAAGAACAGAATCTTCCTTCTACAATTTGTTTTCTCACCTTGACCAAGATTCTTCAGGAATACAGATTTCACAGCTGTGGAGAAAGAACAGAATCTTCCTTCTACAATTTGCTTTCTCACCTTGACCAAGATTCTTCAGGAATACAGATTTCACAGCTGTGGAGAAAGAACAGAATCTTCCTTCTACAATTTGCTTTCTCACCTTGACCAAGATTCCTCAGGAATACAGATTTCTTGCCAAATTGAATAAGGTATTTCCTTCCTGAAAAATGTTCCAGGATGGACCTTGTTGACTCCAAGCTGTGAGCTGCTGGCCATGAAACAGGTTGTTCTGACAAGAGATGCCCACAAGTGGGGAGTCCTCTAATATTTATTATGAAGGGCAGCAGAGTGAGGGGGAGGGACAGTGCGATGGAGGGAGATCTCAGATGCTTGTTCTCTAGGGTCATGTTGCCATGGAGCTGTGGTCACAACTAATCTGCCTCATTTTGTCATGTCCCTCCTGGTCCTTTCTTTTCCATAGTCCTGATGTAATCTCATGATTATAGATATGGCTTTAAGAAACTAAGAGTCATCAGAACTGTAAATTCTAGGAATGTCCAGTATCATACATTTAATTTCCAGGTAAGTTGAATGAGAAGAGCTAAGGAATTTGCCCAACATCACACAGTCACTTGCTAAATGACTTAAGAGCAATAAATTAGATATGTGGACATTCCTGCTGAACAAGCACACAAATTTTAAATATATGAATATGTACATTTTATCATTTCCCTGAACTGATTTTACCATCCTAGCAGCCCTGTGAAGCATATGAGGATTATTCTCTATTCGTAAGAGAGGAAACTGAGGCAAGAACTAATGCAATAAAAACTATTTCAAGACAAGTCACCCCCTTCCATGGTAACAACCACAGTCAGTGGTGTTAGTCAGTTGGGTTGGGTCTGACTCTTCTTTTATTGGTTGCATGACCTGAGCAGATGAGCCCTTCATATCTCAGGAGGTCACCTATAAATGGGCAGGTTGTCATAGTTACGACATGGAGTAGCCCGTCCTGTTAGATCGTGTCTGTGAAGCACTTCTCAGAGTGTGTATGTATATTACAGTGGATGCCTGCTATTAATAGAAGCTGTCATGTGTTCTGATATTGATCATTCCAAATCAAGCAACAGGGAAGGGGGCGGGGAGGGAGATGTCAAGTCAGGGTAGGAAGAACACAGGGACCAGAGTGACGGATCATGGGTGCTATGGAAGTGAGAAAATGATGGTGACTGTACCTAAGGGGAAAATACAAATACTGTCCAAAAATGAAGAACACTGTAAAAAAAAATTTTTAATTTAATCAATCAATAAGTAAATAAAATTCAACCTCAATATGAAATAGGTACATGAATAAATAGCTTTCCTGGCACATTTTAATTTATCTAAAAATATGGGATCCCCAGTTCTCCTGTTCTCAGCTGTTGCCTCAAGGCCAGAGATCCTGCTGGTCAAGCTGTCAAACTAAATGTACAGTCAGGCAGGGGCCTCTCACCAGGACAAAAGCTCAGTTATGAAGAACCTACTGGGAAAGCAATATCTGCTGAAAACTGCAGGAAGACTAGATCTACAGCCAGATTAGCAAAACCAGCTCAAATATGGTTCACAGGTGATTTGGTGGGAATATTATGAGGACTACACCTGAGAGGAAAAATCAAATATTGTACAATGATGAACAATGTATGTATGTGTAAATATATTTTTTAACTTGGGATAATGAAAAATATACCTTATCTGAAAAGATTAGTAGAAAGTTAGGCAAGAATAGACTTTATCCTTTTTGACAGCTGAGTAATATTCACAGGGAAATTATACATTTTACAAAAATGAAGGATGATGTATTGAATATACTTTTTAAATGTTTTAATTTAAAAAATAATAAAGAATAGAGATGGTAGGCTTTGATTAGCAGGAAAAAGGATACCCACCTCTCCACTCCAGCTTATATCACCAAAAACTGCTTCCGCCAGGCACATACACTCCCTAGTAATTGCCCCACCTTTGTGCTTGATCCTAATACTTACAAGACTGCCTTTGGGTGGGGATTTCACCCTATTTCCTGAGAAGCCCCTCTAGGCTTCTCATTGCTCCAAACACACCTGGGCTGAATGACCTTTCCCTTGCCCCATACCATTCCCAAAGCTGCTGCTCTGTGAGGCAACAAAAAGCAAGCTCTACTGAATTACAATCTTGATGAACTTGGTCAACATTAGAAATGGAGAGGCAGCATGAGCAGAAAGGATTCACTACCAGAGGAAATTAAAGAGTGTAATTCACTGGAAAACACATTTGAAAAGGTGAAGGGGAAATGGCTAAAAGAAGGAAGTGAGGTGTCCAGGTGGCTGATGGTGTTGGCATGAGGTAACGCTTCTACCTATGGCCACCTCCATAAACTTGAGTTCTTCTTGCTTCCCTAAGGACTGCTTCTTAAATGCAAAGGAGAGGGAGGAGTGGGACAAAGGGCATACCTTCCTGTGATGTCCCAAGCTGAGCAGACTAGCCAGAGCTTCTTGTTTTGTCTCCTTTTAGCACAATCACTCTTATCCAATTGATTATGTCAGACAGCATATTTTACCATAAGCCAAGAACTGAGCAAAGTCTTCTTCATGCATATCCCCCACTTTATTATCGTATTAAATCTGAGGTAGACAGAATACATGTCCATATTCTTGCAGATTAGGAAAATAGAGCCTATAGGTGAATCCATTACAACTAGAAAATTACAAAATGGTGAAGATGAAAAGAGAATCACAGGTCTAATGACTGGAGAACAATCTTAACTACTCTTTGCTTTAGTCTTTTAGACATACTTTTCAATGCAATAAGTCATTACAAAGATCACATTTTCTAATAATAATGAACAACTATATACCAGAGATATTTTATGAGGGTGGAGTGGGGAATGGGATCAAAAATGGGGGGGGGGGGTTTGCACTGGACTTTGGTGATGGCACAGGGTGATTTGGTGATGGGAAGCCCACAGGGATTGCAGCTGAGATAGAAAAAGGCACAAAATGATGTAAAAATAAACTGTTATATAAAAAAAAAAATCACATTTTCTACCACACTATAGAAACAACTTGTATCACTTGAATGCAAAGAGAAAAAAATCAGCATGTGTAAATGTGTATTATAGAATAATAATAGTAACACATATCCTCAACATGTACATCAGACACTAAGTGCTTCATACACTGGCTCATTTCATTCTCCCCATTAACACTATGAATTATTAACTCTTATTCCTGTTCTACAGATGAAGATATTAAGCTCACTGAGACCAAGTAATTTGCCCCTGGATATCCAGGTAGATACTTATTTTCTCCTTTCATAATGGCCTACCCAAAACAAGCCACAGCACAACAAATTTATTTCAGTATTTAATGCCAGTTTAAGGACACACCAACTTCTGAATAAAAGTAGAGGGAAAACCACATTTTTTTAAAGATTTATTTATTTATGCTCAAATAAAAACTGGGGCACAGGCCAAAGGTGCAAGGGCAGTGAGAGAATTCATCAGAAACAGAGAAGGGAACAGAACAGGCCGACTGACAAAATCCACTGCTGAGAGGAGCAGTGGGGAGACAGGGGAGGTCTGTCACACCATGTGGGTCACCTCCCTGGCCGGGGATCAAACTCTTGCTGAAGCAGCTGGGCCAGCTTCATAGTGCTGTGCTTTAACCTGTTTTGTCACCAGGAGGGCCCGGGAAAACCACCCTCTTATTCCTTGGCTAAATTCTCTTCTAGAGGTTAATGACATAAAAGAGGTGAAAACTGAGAAACTCTCCAAAGGAAGGTGGTACTCCCCTTTATAGCTTCCAAAAGACCTTTGAACATAAGATTAGAAAATTGCTATTTGGGGTTGAAATAATGACTCCACTATTTCACTGACCACTTTTTATAGCTGAGTGAATGGGGTTGTCCCATTTGTTCAGTCAGTGAGGCCCTAACCAGAAGTTTTCCATCTTTTTCCTGCCTTAATATATTTAAATAGTCCCGGTCTACCTCTGTAATCAATATGGCCATGAATCTCACATTGGAGGGGGTGTCTACAGCAAAGGGCAGCATTTGGGAAACTTAGGAGAAACCAGCTCTGTTTAGAAAAAGAAAAACACCTTTTCCTGGGCTATTATGCTCTCATGCGTGCCCTACCTGAGGCATCACCACGCTGAACACTGGAATAAACATGTTCCCAATGTTTTGCTCCCATAGATTCAAATTCTATTTCGATGTCCCAAGTGGTTCAGTCTTTATTGCGGTGAAGATTTCTGCTACACTGAGCACTTAAGATCCCCATCTCTACAACATTACTCATTTCAGAAATCAATGATGATCAAGCTGTTTTCCACTAGTCAGTACGTTCATTGATTAGGGGAATCTAGGAGGGGAGGAAGGAGAAAGAGGGTTCAACACAAATCACTGTGTAGGTCACCAAGTCCAAAACAACAGGAAAATGTTCACCATTGACTTAGCTCATTGACAGAAAACTGAATGCCCGTGAAAAAGAACCTGAGCCTTGTCCACAGCTTTCCTCATGGCATTTTTAATCTCCTTGTTCCTAAGACTGTAGATGATGGGATTCAGCATAGGGATCACCAAAGAATAGAAGATGGACACCACCTTGTCCCAGTTTAGCGAGTAGCTGGAACTCGGGCGCATATAGATGAAGAAGCCAGAGCCATAGAAGAGGGTCACGGCAGTCAGGTGAGAGGCACAGGTGCTGAAGGCCTTGCTCCTGCCTTTCACTGAGCTGATCTTCAGGACTGCAGAAATAATGTAAGCATAGGAAATGAGGATCACAAGCACAGACAAGACTCCGACGATGACGCCTATGATGTAGTTCACCACCTGGCTGATGAAGGTATCAGAGCATGAGAGAACCAGGACTGGAGGGAGGTCACAGAAGAAGTGGTTGATCCTGTTGGGTCCACAGAAATCATGGTGATAGATAGAGTAGGTTTCAATAAAAGAGCTAAGGAATCCGCCCCCATAGGCACCGGCCACCATCTTTAAACAAAGTGTATGGGAGACAAGGGTGGTGTAGAGCAACGGGTTACAGACGGCAGCATAGCGGTCATAGGCCATGGCGGCCAGGAGGAAACATTCCGTCAGCCCCATGCCACAGAAGACGAAATACTGGGTGGCACAGCCAATAAAGGAAATGGCTTTCTGCCCCGTGCTGATGTCAGAGAGCAGCTTGGGAGCTGTGGAGGACACGTAGCAAATGTCTAGGAAGGAGAGGTTGCTGAGGAAGAAGTACATGGGTGTCTGCAAGTGGGAATCCACCCTAATGAGGGTGATGAGGCTCAGGTTCCAGGCCACCGTCAGGAGGTAGATGCCCAGAAAGAGCACAAAAAGGAGAATCTTCATCTGAGGCTGATCCGAAAGTCCCAGCAGGATGAATTTCGTCACAACTGTGTTATTTCTTCCTACAGCCATAGGCCTGCATCCTGCATGAAGGAAAGGAGCAATTCTGTGATCAGATCGACTGTGTTTGTCTCCACAGTAATGATCAGGCTAACAGTGAGCAGCAAGTCAAAGTCCCGGACGTCTGCTAAGCGGTCTTCTCAATGGATCTCAGCCTTCAATAACTCTGGTATGCTTTTTAAATTATGTATGCTATATATGTATTTTTTAAAGATTTATTTAGAAGAACTGGGGTAAAGGTGCAAGGGTTGGGGGTGTGGGAGTGAGAGGATTCACCAGAGACAGAGCAGGAGCAAAACAGTCAGACCGACCGAAAGACAC